CTGTATGTACAGGAGCAGACGAAATTATCCATTTAAACATCTTTGACAGCGTTGCCAAATTTGGTATTTTTCTTTCATAGTTCGATTCCTCTCTCACTTTGCTAAAAAAAAGATATACCATATGTCAGTCGATATCTTGTACCGTTTTTGAGAAAATCGTATTTTATTAACAACAAACACGTATTGTATCAAAAATGCGATATTAACATTTTTGCAAAAATCTTGGAAATTCAGATGATTGTCAACAAGTATGTATAATTAGCAGTTAGATACTTGTCATAAATCATTTTGACACTATTTGTTGATTCAATATCATGTAGGATTTTAGCTATGAAAAATTTGCGGATATTCATCTATGTACGAACCTGCAGAATGTAGTGCTTCTGAAGCTGTTCGAATTTACGCCAACCGCTTTCAAATAGAATTTGCATATTTCAAGTGATGGAAAAACCCATTCAGACAAAACACTAACAAAAATTTATCATTAATATATGGATGGCAATTGGGAACTACTTAGTGGGACCATATGTCATTAATGACGCTTTAAATGGGAATAAATACCTACACTTACCGCAAGAACACCTTAATCCATTATTGGAAGACATCTCTTTAAATATTTGAAATAACATGTGGCCATTTTAGCAGGGCAGTAAGGGCTTATTTAAATACCACATTTCTCGATCGATGGATCGGTCGAGGTAGTCCTTTTCCGTGGCTGCCTCGGTCCCCGATCTTAATCCTCTCGTTTTTTTTCTTTAGGGCCATCTTAAAAGTCTTGTTTATCAAATTCCTATAAATAGTAGGGAAGAATTATTAAATCGCATACGCCGACATCGTTAGAAATGATCACCACATGTTATTTTGAGTATAGCAGAAGTGTTTGAGCAATTTCAGAAAATGCATTGAACTTGAAGGTGCACATATTGATCATCTTACTTAACAGTTCTCTTTTTTTTTTCAAGATTTTTACAAAAATGTTAGTATCACATTTTTAATACAATAAATGTATGCTGTTAATAAAATTCGATTTTCTCAAAAACGGTACAAGATATCGACTGATATACGGTATACCTACCTTTTTTTTTAACAAAGTAAGAGAGGAATCGAACTATGAAAGAAAAATGTCAAATGGATAATTTCGTCTGCTCCTGTATAATCCAGGCATATTGAATATCAGTTTAAACTTGAAAATGAACATTGTCATGAATTGCTTTAATTGCCCAAATTTCATTGTTTCCAGACACCTTGTATATTTGATAGAAATCTGTGAAATGCCCTAACAAATAAAGAAAAACGGCCATTACCGCTGATATTAGAGCAACCCGATCTTCATACGAGGAGGATGTCAAGTCGGATTTTGCATATCATTTTGCCCTAATAAGGACAGTTTGTGTGTATATAGTCCAAGCATTATAGAGAAATGCTTACAGAAATTATTACCTGGACAAAAAAAATATGACCGTATAGAAAATTAAATTTTAAATTGAGTTTCTTGTTCTTTAAACTCGATCCAAAATGGCGAACATGGTTAAAAAAAATCGATAATTTGCAAAAAACGGATTTTCTAAAATAACTAAAAAAATTGACCGATTGAAAAATTTTAAATAAGAAAGTTGTAGCTATTAAAAAGATCTATCGACTGATTTTTTTGTAAGTATCGATTGCTTTGTTACTTTTCGAGATATATCGAAAAAACCGTTAAAAATCTTCTCTATTCTCTTCTTCTATAAACTCGTTTATATTTACGTTCCCATATTTGTTATTTACTGCAAGCATAGCCCGCGGCAAGCCAAAAAAGTACATTTTTGAAAAATTTAAAAATATTAATTATTTTTCGATATATCGATTTTTTGAAAAAAAAGGCGCTCTCGAAAATTGACTAGATCTTCTCAGCGGATAGCCCTACAGTAACGATTTTTGATTTATTTTCTTCGTAAAGAGTTATATTATCAAGCTGTTAAAAAATGTTAACGATTTTATTAATTTTAAGGATAAAAAAATGACTGAAAAAGTTGCACTTTCTCAATTAAAATTTTTCAATCGGTGCTATATTTTTTTAGTTATTTTAGAAAAACCGTTTTTTGCAACTTTGCGATTTTTTTAACCATATTCGCCATTTTGGATCGAGTTTAAAGAACAAAAAACTCAATTTAAAATTTAATTTTCTATACGGTCATATTTTTTTTTGTCCAGGTAATAATTTCTGCAAATTTAATATTAATCCGTGACAGAATGCTTGGACTAATATGCACGCGTGCGTGTGCGTGTGTATTTTCAATAAACACACGAAATCCCATACATTTTTTTTAATATCTACATGAATTTTTCCAAAAAAAATATATTTTATATTTAATCTTTTTATTATTGTTTCAGTATGAATATTATTTTATTTGTAAATCTGTATGTTTATCTGATTTAGTTGACGACTTTTACTAAAAAATTATTGGACTTTTATGTTATTTTGATAAAAAATATTGCAGGTCATCCATCGACTTCCACAAGTAAATCCGAATGATCCTCAACTAATTGAAGGTTAAGAAAACTATATAAATATCTCATTTGTATTGACATTATATCTAGAATAAATAAAAATCGTTAATATTTTTTTTTATCAAAATAACATTTTTAATCCCATAATATTTTTATAAAATTCGTCAACCAAATCATATAAGGCTCCAAATTTACAAGTAAAATGATATTCTTACTAAAACAATAATACAAAGATTAAATATAAAATATAAATAGAAAATATGTATACATATAAATGTAACAAGTAATATAAAACCATATAAATAAAAATCGTTAAGGTATCTGCGGGGTCATTTGTCCTTTATTACAGTTAAAAAGTGACAGTCAAGAAAATCAGGATTACTGGGTAGTTCTTTTAATTAAACATCAGAAGATTTGCAATGTCGGTTTCATACGAAATTCAACATGTTTTCAATGTCAATCCAGTTACCAACATTAAAACAATAGCTGCTCGAAGTTTGCGATAAATTAAACAAGTGATGCCATTCGTAACTGAAATGCGTATAGAATTCCTATACAGGGTGTTCGAAAACAACATCCAGACATTTTAAAAAACCGGTTGCTAAGGCGATGTTATGAAGAAAACTTCATATAAACATGTACACTCATAAAAATTTTATGTAAAATTACATACCAGATAATTAGTTATTCTGACTCCACAGTAGGTAATGTAAAATTACATCATACAAGTAAAGTTACATTAAGCATGTAATTTTACGTTTTTTGTGTAATTCATCCAAAATGTAAACTCACTCTATCGATATATGCATAATTACGTACGACACCTAAAGCACAATTTTACCAAGAAACAGGGAAACGACATAGTATTTTTAGATAGAATACGTTTTTCTACGTATTTAAATATTTTTCTATAAGCAATCTCTGTACAAAATCTCCCTCTTATTTAAAGGACAAAGTACATTTAATTTTACACATCTTTTTTTAATGACGTCTTTACCCTTCAGTATTTTAACTAAAATTACTAAGTACTTTTTTATACTCTCGAAAACCGTATAAATCTTGAATTAATTTTAGACTTCTTTAACTATGAGGACTAATCAAATAAACAACATGTACTTATCTAAGACATTTTCTTTCATAAAATTGACTTTTAATTTAAAATAATTGAGTATAGGAAATACATTCCTCGTGTACTTTGTTTTACTACGGTTTTCATTCATATGAGGTGAATTCTATAAACGATTTCGAGAGCAATAGCCAGTTCTTGACAACATTATACAGAAAACAAAAAAAGTATAGTAAATATAATAAGTGAAATAGGTTTTAAATAATAAGCTACGACGATGTCTGTGTGTAAAGGTTAGGGAAAGTACTATATGGTTATTATCGATATTTATCATACTCTTCAATAACTTTAAATGAAGATATACCGAGAGATTTATCCAATTTAGATAAAGTCCTATTATTTACTTACCACAATATTTATTTATAACATCATATTTAGGTAGTTAGAGCACTGTACTACATTAAATTACACCACAAATGAATCTAAACATGCCAACTGAACACTAGCACAGTTCTCTACACACGCGCTGTAACACCACACTGGATGATCACATGATTAATCTGATTGGTCGAGCCAAATCAGGTCATGTAAATTCACACTTTTATTCGTATATTTGCATCAAATATAGTAAAACACGTAAAAGATTAGAAATAATACATTTTAAAATGTAAAAATACAAAGTAAAAGGTAAAAATACATCGCAAAAAGAAAATATAAACTTAAACGTGTTATTCTACACAATGTATCATGTATGTTCAATTCATTACATTTTTTATGTACAAACCAGTATAAATATGTAAAAAGCGTATGTAAATTTCCACAATTTTTATCAGTAATTTACTTAGTTTTTCAATGCACAGGGCAATCATAGTTAAGTCCACTTCATTGATGTGTAAAAAACTTTGAAATTTCAAATTTTGTTATCAAATTTTGAAAAAAATCGAAGATTATAATTAAATCTTTTTTCTTTTTTTCTGGGTTGGGCACCGGGCTTTTTGAGGTAGGCCGTGCACACCCCTGTCCCCCCTAGCTACGCCCATGGACGCCCTGCACATAGCCGTTTAAAAAAGGTTATTAAGTAAACCAGAATCGTTCAGTAGTCGTTTTATTTAAACGCCAGAAAATTTCCAATATCGGTTTTTATGAAATTCCATCCGATTTCAATGTCAACCACAGTTGCCAACGGAAAAAAAGTACCTATCCTGTTCTGATTTTGCAATAAATTAAACAAGTGATAATACTCAGTATTGGTACGTCAATGTAATGTGTATAACCTGATTAAAGTCAGTGGCGGGTCAGATTCTGTAATATTATAGTTGTATTTCGTCATACGAAATACGAAAAAAATTAAACCACCAAGAACCCTGTTATCAACTCGAATTTTTGTAGATACGTCTGGTATTTGATCCATACCTGCACCCTATTGACCACCTATTTCATCGGAATGTACACCTGGAATAATTTCATGATGAACCCCGTTATAACGACCGTCAATTTTTTACAATCTTACCCGGTGAAAGACGTCGCGATGCCAGGGATATCCGTGTGTAACATCAACAAAATCAGCAAGATGAAAGCCGAAGCTTACGCAGAGGAACTGTACGTATGTCTAGTTCAATCAAGAAACTGTTGAAAAATTATTACATTTGACAACGTCGCATGTTTCTAAATTATGCGACATTCTATTGTTTTGATCCACCAAGACATGATTTTTTATTTTCGTCTGATGGCATTCGAGAAATTGGTGGAGGAGCCGGTAGCATTTCAAAAATTAACTGGCATTACAATTTTTAACTAGGATAGAGATCCGGTCGTCCTTGTGGCGGTAGTACAACACATTTCCGGTTTTAAATTTTATTTAACAACAAATGCGTCACTCTCCAGGCCATTCTCGAGAATTACTGGTGTTTACCAAACAATACTGTAAATTATTTCGATCTGCGATGGTCTGACGCTTCCACTCGACATCGAGAAGGTCAAAGTCCTTCCAGAGCTTAAGTCTGCACGAAAAATGCTGCTGTTCGGGATTTACCCAGCGAGTGACGCAAATCGGCTGCGTTCGTTTTTCTCGTTTTTTGGCCATCTATAAAGAATTTTGGAATGATACACACACATAGCTCGCTTGGCAGGACACGCAAGCAGTTATTTGGGATAAATTTTAAATATATACAAACGAAAGAGTAGATGTTAGTGAAATCTATTCTTTTACTTGTATAGTTTAGAGGTTGTAAGGATTAGATGTGTGGCACACATTACCTGTGCATGTAATTGCACTTTTGCGGTAATTTACTTAAAATGCAAATTTACAAATTGCACTAAAGGAAATAAAATTAAAAAGGTTTAATAAGTTTAGAAAAAATGTAAGTTTTTAAATTAAACATAAAGACAATTAATACAGAATATTATTGAACAGTTTTCTTAAAATTATTGTAATGAAAAACTTAACACAAAAGGTTTAAAGGATTAATTTTTCAGTTGACTATTTTCATAGGACATAATCTTTATAAATACATACTTGGAATTAATAATAATAAAAAAATTAAAAACTGTCGCTATCAAAAAAATTTCAACATAAAGCAAGTACTTTTTTAAGAACAAGCTTGGTACAGTTTTATAATTTAATTCTGGTTTGGACTATGTAAATTTTATTTAGAGAACTAAATAAAGGAGGATATTCTAGCACAACTTCACTATTTTAGCAATAACTTGAAAACGAAAAAAGATATGGACTTCCGGTTTGTGAATTTGTTTTCCTTAATAAATGATCTATCAAGCCATGAACAAAAAACTTATATCGTTGCATTTAATTTTTTTGTAAACAGAGACAATTACAAAACTTTTTTAATTAGCGTCATCTACCGTTGGGCAGGAAAATAATATGTTTATTCCCATAACATAAATTTTACTAATAGTTCTTTAAAATGAGCCGTCGTCGTTTTTTTGAAATCGATTAAGACATTTAGAAGTTTTGACAATTTAAAAATTTCAAGATTGCGTCCTTCATACTGGCGTTGCTGTGGTAATAACAAAAAAAGAGTTCAAACAAAACTTGTGAACGGTTTAACAGTGTAACTAAAAAGCGTATTTGCAACTTAGGTTATATAAGCGAAATTTCGAAAAACCGACAATTTTCTGTAACACTATAGCAGTTGCGCCCTCTAGCGCTGAAGTTACAAACTTGAAAATATTTTAAATCAACTTCTTTTGGCCGTATTTGTTAATAGATCTTTTACCCCATAATCGTAGAAGGTCTAGTTTCCTATATACAGCTGCTCCGTACCGCTAATAGATCACTCTGTATATAGAAGTATTTATGACCTTGACTTCAGTTCTTATAACTTTTCTCAGATTATTAATGAGGCCACTAGAATTACTTGTACCTTTAGTACTTCAATTGAACCTCCTGTTTATTACTAATACTAACATTGATGAATCTTTTGGAACAATTGCTGCTAAAATAGTGCCTAAAATTATTTCATACCGCTGCTATAAACACTTTAATTTTAACGATTTTTTAAATGATTTGTATAATGTCTCTTGGTTTGAGATGATTTATGAAAATAATCTTGATAAAGAAATTTCGATTTTTAATAAATTTTTAACAAGTCTCTTTGGCATACATGCTCCTGTAAGAAAAGTAAGAGTTACTAAACCTCGAGCTCCTAATCTAAAATTAATCATGAAACAAAGAGATAAGGCACTTCAAAAATTTAAACGTACTCGCGAGCACACTGATTGGTTACAATACAAAAATTTACGAAATTACTGTGTCTCTATGGTACGACAAGAAAAAAAAAGGGTAGTTGGAATTTATTGCTTCTCAAAAAAAATAGTAAACGGACTTGGAAAGCTCTTGATTATCTCAATATTTGATCTTGTAAAAATTTTATTTTGCCACCTCAGATGGCTGACCCTAATGAAATTAATGACTTTTTGCTTAATTTTTACGGAATATCTCTAATAATTGTGATTGTGATTAATTTTTATGGCAATAATAGATGTGATATTAATCTATCTTTCAAATTTGCTTTGGCTACTGTTGATGAGAGTCATACCATTCTTAATAGTATCAAACGGATGCATTTGGTGTTGGTAATATATCTCCCGCTATGTCAAAATACTGTGTAGTCCATTTATTGATCCGTATGTTGCTCATATAATTAATTGCTGAATTGAGAAACAATACTTTCCTTGCTTGTGGAAAAAGGCAATCGGTTTGCCGATACCCAAAAAATATAATCCAGAATCGTCCTCTGATCTTAGAATAATTAATATATTACTTGCGCTTTCCAAAATTTTTGAATGATTGTTATATAATCAAATTTATGACTATTTTGTAAATAATAGTCTCTTACCTCAATCCTGATGTGGCTTCAGGAAAAGGTATAGTACTTCAACTGCTCTAATTACCGTCACTGATGATTTAATAAAAGCACAGGACAGGGGACTAGTTAGTGTTTTACATTTATTGGACTTCTCTAAAGCTTTTGACACAATTAATCATAAGCATCTTTGTTCTAAACTTAAGTACTATGGGTTTGATGAACCGACTTGATCTTATTAATTCTTATTTACATGGAAGATATCAACAGGTATGTGTTAATAACATCGTATCTAATAGTTTAGAAATACTTTCTGGTGTACCCCAGGGTTCAATTGTGGGTCCTTTACTTTTTATAATTTACACTGCTTCCATTTTAGAGTCAATTCAACAATGTAAAGTACAAGCTTATGCTGATGATATTATCATTTTGATATTAATGATCTGGATCAAGCATGCAATATTGTCAGCTCTGAGTTACAAACTATAAGGCAATTATCTGATGAACATATTTTAAAATTAAATTCTAGCAAATCAAAAGTACCTAATTTTTGTTTGGTACTAAGAAAAATGTACAAATATTAAGACTCAACTTTAATATTATAATTGATCGTATTCCAATTTCTATTACTGACGATGTAGAAAAGCTCGGAGTGACTCTTGGCAATAACTTACGGTTCAATCAGCATGTGAAAACATTACTCCAAAAATCTTATTCTTCGCTTAGATTAATTTATAGTCACTTGTTCTTTCCGATTTTAATTACTGTGATTATGTCTATGGTCCATGCCTTAGTATACAAGAAAAAAATAGAATTGAAAAAGTTAAAAATTCATGGTGTCGACTTGTACACGGATTAAGAAAATTTGATCATATTTCTCACAAAATTGTAGAAATCAAGTGGCTCAACATGGAGAATCGTCGACGTCACTATCTTGGCAATCTTGTGCATAAAATTTTAACCATTTCTTTATCATTCGTTAAAAACTAAATTTGTTAAACGTTCTAATGCTCATTCGAGGAATATTCGATTTAATAATACCTTTACAATGCCACATCATCGTAGTGTCCTATTTAAAAGATGTTTTACTTATAATTCTATCACTTTGTACAATTCTCTTCCTGATAATTTTAAAATTTTTAATATTATCAAATTCAAGTATAAATTTAAATCATGTCTATTGAGTGGACAGCTGATTTTATAGTATATACTCGATAGGTAATTGTATTTTATTTTAATTGTATTATTGTTTCTTTTCTGAACGATTGTCTGTTGTTATCTATCACATGTTATCGCATACATATGGTCGAGTGTGAATAGCTATTGCTAGACTTCGCCATGGGTTTACGAATTTCTCCCTCTATTTTTTCTATTTCTTTATTTTATTATTATTATTATTATTATTATTATTATTATTATTATTATTATTATTATTATTATTATTATTATTATTATTATTATTATTATTATTATTATTATTATTATTATTATTTTATGCAATTTGTGTAGAGACCAAGATACCTACTTATTTAAATGATAAATTACTGTATTTAATTTTAAACACGATTTTGGATGAAGTCTACATCCTTCAACATCTAAATTTAAAAGTGAGTTACAAAATTTGCGTTTATCTTAACCAAAGTCAGTAATTACTTTCAAAACCTCCTAAATTTTGTAACGGAAACTAGGCTACTTGCATACTTGTTTATAAAAAAATATCCTAAAGCGATTTACCCCAAAGAGCAAACTACGGATTGCCAACTAGATCACCGCAATTGGTTCAGCAAGTACATATAAAACGCTATAAAGCAAATCGGAACAATCGTTCGTCTAAAAAAAGAATTAGGAGTATACCCTACTTCTTAATGAGCCACACTGTATATGGCCACGTAATTTCCGGAAAAATATTTTAGTATAGAATTTTAATTAAGGTAATAAAATATTTTTGGCGTGACCAGCGTGTGCGGAGGTCAATTTTTAGCGGCAATCCCAGACGATTTCAGACAAACACGACATTCTAAAGGTCGATATGAGGTACAGAAAAAAATCCTTATACGTCCGATCGTTTTAAGACTTGCAGTCAATTAGAACGTTTACTGTCATAAATTGTGTCCCCGTTGTATTGAATTTTAATACAGTGACAATATTTATAAACATAATTTAGGGTATATCAAGGAAAACATGTCATTGACACGCCTGTAAAAATAAGCATGTCGTACAGAGTGTTCAACAAGGATCCCAAATAGTGATCAGGAAATTTGCGACGTAATATGCGTC